AAAAAAAAAAAAAAAAAAAAAGATTAACCTTAAACCTTTACAAATATATACTATATTTAGAAAAGAAAGTGAAACTGATTCTAAGTAAAAACAAATAAGTGAAGCTGATTATTCATGAACCCTATGAACTTTGAATGTGTAGCACAATAAAAAGTGAATTATTTGTATTGGGGGGGGACATGCATGAGAGCCTGCAATACTGTTGCTCTTTTGAAAAAGAGGTGTTAACTAAGTAGTTTTTCAACCACTTTCATTGTTTTGGGAGTATATTTACTTGAAATAACCAACATGTTTTCCCATAAACAAGACCCCCCCCAACACACCTTGGAACATAAGAGCTGCTCAACAAAAGTAATCTCGGTTACATTCATTAGAGGTTAAAATCCTGGATGATAAAATTTCTGTCCCGTCAAATTTTCAAGTGTCTGAAACTGATGCTCCTCCCCCTCTCCCCCATGCCCTGCAGCCACATTTCCAGGTAATTGGCTCTTCCTGCTCCAAAGATGGGGGGGGCACTTGCTTTTAGGGTCGCGCTGCCTGCCTGCCCGCCCTCGGTGCCCTCCTCCCCGGGTGTGGGCAGCTCGGACACCACGTGTGGACTTAGTTGTGCGACCTGAGTGGGTCGCCGGGCAGGGGGCGCTCCGGGGGAAAGTTTACCCGGGTCGACCAAGGTGGGGGCGGGGAGGCCTGCCCGGGATCAGGGGCGGGAGCTCACAGGGCCACCTCTGAGCAGCCTGCTCTCGCACGGGCTGCGGGGGTGGGAGCGCCCTGTCTGTGGCTACCGGAGTCAACCAGAGTCGGGTCTCCCTGTGCTCCCCCGCCCACCACTCCTTCCTCCCTGGCCTGGCGCGTCCGCACAGCAGCAGGCCTGTCCCCAGCTGCGCCGGAGGCTGAGAGGCTAGCAGGTGAGCGTCGGGTCCCCTTGCTGGCCTTCGCAGGCAGGCGGGAGGGAGGCAGTCACTTAGCTGACCCGGCCTGGAGCTTGCTCCACCCCTCACCTGTGTTAGGTATTGTAAGCAATCTCATAATGGCTTTGAATATATGGGAAGATGTGTATAGTGCAAATATTATGCTATTTTGGTGTCTGCAGGGGCTCTTGGAACCAGTTCCCCTTGGAACCAGTTCCCCTTGGATACAAAAGGAAAACTATAAACCTGTAGTCTGTTAAATTTCTTTTCTTTTACAAAAGGGGAGAGTGCACTGAAACTTTACGGAATCGAATCCGAGAACTAGAAGCAGAGGGCAAAAAGCTCACAATGGACATGAAGGTGAAAGAAGACCAGATCAGAGAGTTAGAGCTGAAAGTTCAGGTAATAGAGAAAATTCTTTCATCCTTAAATTTCTTTTAGCCTAGATTTGCACTCTGCTACCATGAAGAGATAGCACCTTTTGATATAGACTGAATTCCATTGCATCAAAAAATCTGTATATGACAAAAAGATTTGAGGCTCTAATCTTGTCTAGCTCATTTCAAGTCCAATTTGCTATAGCTAGATTCTGATACAAGTCAGAAATGTTGGCAGTCTCCTGACTGTCTTACATCAGGGTTTGGCTTACTGTAGATTCATGTAACTTTTCCAGGTTATGGCCAGATTAATGTCCTTTGAAACACATGTCTCTCCTTAGCCCTAACCCTTAGCAAGAACTGACTCCCCTGGGTGGCTCTGAGCCCTGCAGACTAGTTCTGAGCTGTCTGTATGAGGAAATGTGCCAGGGTTATGATCATGGCCAATGTTTTAGCCTTTGTACTTTAGCCACAGATTCGGCATCAGCTCTTCAAAGTGACATTTAAAATTAATGTCATATAAGGCTGGGGATTTAGCTAAGTGGCACTGCTGCCTGCCTCACAAGTTCCCAAGTTTGATCCCCAGTTAAAAAAGAGAGAGAGAGAGAGAGAGAGAGGGAGGGAGGGAGGGAGGGAGAGAGAGGGAGAGAGCTTTAAAATTAATGTCATATAGGGCCTGGGATTTAGCTCAGTGGCACCGTGCCTGCCTCATAAGCACAAGGTCCTGAGTTTGATCCCTGGTACTAGGGGGGAAAGAGATTAAAAAATAATGTTAGGTATTATAAAGTTACAGTAATTTGAATTGTGTGGGCCTGGTAAAAAATTACTGGCAAGTTAGTGGTGTAGAATGTGTATCCTAGAGACATAGCCTGAAGTGTGTAGTAAAGATATCCTCAAATAGATAGAAAAGGTGAGGATAAATCAGGGAAAGGCTCTGGAATAGTGGGTAATGGGAAAAAAATCAGAAGCTCATCTCCTAACACACAAAAAGAAACTCCAGGGCCCAGGATTTAGTTCAGTGGTGTCCCCACCTGCCTCAGGCGCAAGGTCCCAAGTTTGATCCTTGCTACAATAACCAAAAAAATCCAGATAAAGGATTCAGTGCAGAAAAACAAAAGAAATGGTGTTTTGTTTTATGTAGTGAGTTCTAAACCCATGAAGTACCACAATTCTATGGTCTAATGATTATGTCATGAAGAGTGGGATTTAACTTGTAATTTCAGGCTAATTTATAGACATCAGTACCAAAACTACCTAGTAGCATTGCTGTCTTGATATTGGTAGGAGCTTCGGAAGTATAAGGAAAATGAAAAGGACACTGAGGTGTTAATGTCAGCCCTCTCCGCCATGCAAGACAAGACACAGCACCTGGAGAACAGCCTGAGCGCAGAGACGAGAATCAAGCTGGACCTGTTCTCCGCACTGGGTGATGCAAAGCGACAGCTTGAGATTGCCCAAGGTAGGGGAGCGCGGGATGTGGGGGAGTGGCAGGTGATGGGGGACTAAGAACGCACAGGGTTGAAGAGAGCCAGCTTCCCCCTAGAGCTCCGAACCAGAGGGCATTTCTGATTTTTTCTCCAAGGAGCTTGGTAAGTCGCCAGCATTGAAATGAAGGAGTCAGCACACTGATTCATGATGCAGACATATTTTGAGACAAAAGCACGTCAGGTGCTGGGCGTGTAGAGAAGAGTACATTTCTACTTTTAAGGAGCACGATGTTGTTTAGGAAGAAGAGGACTGCAGAATCATCAAACGGTGCTGGTGGTATAGCACTGTACATGGAACCTGTGAGGACAGAGAGAAGCAGGGACCAAATCAGTCTGGAGAGTTGGAGAGGGCCGTGTCCTAGAAGACCTGGGACCCGACCAGTGAGAAGTGGTTGGTCCGGTGAAGAAGCAGCATGGTAGGGGTGAGGGTCAAGAAGCCTGGCCAAGGGCTTAGAGGGGAGGCAAGCCTGGTGCATAACAAGCTGCAGCAGCTTTGCCCAGCTGGAGCAGTCAGGAATGAGTCTGGAGAGCAAGCCAGCCCCTGGGCAGATGTTCATCAGGACCTACTGTGTGCTGGGTGCCGTGAAAGTCTGAGGATTCAGGGACGAGCCCCAGCGAGGACAAAGGATGAGTGAGCCAGTAAGGAGTGTGTCCGATGGCCAGAGGAGGCCCAGAGGGGGCCTGCGTGTCTGCGTGCATGTCTGTCTGCTCTTTTCACATGGCAGTCACAGAAGATCCCTTAGTAGGGGTCCCTTGAGCAGAACCTGAGAGTGGAGAGAGCGAGTGAGCCGTGTGAGTAAACTGGAGGGAAACACTTCTGTGGCAGGGGACAGCAAGTGTAAAGCCCCACGGTAGAAGTGGGGGCATCACGGGTTCTGAAGGATGGTGGGCTATGGGAAGAACTTGGGCCTTTGAGTGACATAAGGGGATGTGGAAAGCTTCTGAAGAGAGGCGTGGTGTGAAGATGAAAACAGATCCGAATGTTGTGCAGGAAACTGATTCGCTGCCTAATGGGCTGCTGCAGGGACCTTCAGCTGGCTGAGTGCCGCAGTAGCAAAGCCATGGCACACGCTCCACAGCGAGCTCTTGTGTCACGCAGAGCTCTTTCACTGTGATTTTCTTCTAATGTACGAGCTGTTTACTCTAAACTAACACCCCAGTGTTCAAGTTTGATGCAGTGTTGGCACTTCGCAATAAATATGTGGGTTTTGGGGTTGCGGTTTGGGAACTCGGTCTCTAAAAATCCACTACTACTGACCTAAATGGATAGAAAAGAATATTTCAACAGGGGCTTACAGAGCAGTCACATACTGGGCTCAACTGGATTTTATCTCTCAGTATCTACCTACTAGAAACTAAATTTAAGGATTTACTTATTAATCCATTTAAAATATATTACATGTTAACATAAATAACATTTTTATGAAAAACAACTATATTCTCCAAAGCGAAAATAAATATAATCAGAAAAGTGGTATTGTTTTACATGGAAAAAAATATCTCTGATTTCTGGCTTAAGGGGAGATACTCTTAATGCTCTTCTGTTTCTACATTCGTTCTGCTGAGATTTCATGCTCCACTCAGTTCATAGGTGACTCTACTTAATGCTCATTACAGAATGAGCATAAAAAAGACAATGGCTTAATATTACTGTGAAAGGAATTTAGATCCTGTGGAAGCCTGACTGTACTTTGAGAATTGCACAAAGATAAGCTGGGCAAAAGGATCTGCTGCCGTTAGGTAAAGGCCAGAGGGCTAGAAAGGACAAAGGAGCAGTAAGGGAGAGCTTTGTGCAAAAAAGGAAAGTAAGGTAGGCTTTGAGGATGATTCTGAGGGCAGAGAATGGCAGGGAAGACCACTGTTACATGAGGAAGTAGTGTAAGCAAGGGAATAAGGTACTGAGGTACTGGGAATATCCAGGTGAGCAGGCTAACGGCCTCAGACTTGAGGGCTTAAAGAGAAGAGCGCGAGGTTAGGAGAATCATGAATGGAGCCATACTAGAGAACATATCCTCTACATTTTTCAGAGGAAGGGGATGATATGTTCTGGCCGTTATTCTGGAAATCATCAGTAGCAGTGTGAAAGAGGAATTTGAGAAATAAGATGGAAGGTAGAAAGGCCAGTTGGAAAGCTGTTATGCTCTTCTGTCTGAGAGGGGACGAAGATGGCAAGGGCATGTTCCAGACAGGTGAATTATGGAGCGTGGAGGTGCCTGAGAAATTAGGAAGCATCAAGTTTCTGGAACCAAGGAAGAAGAGTAGAACAGCTTTAGGGTATGAGAAGTGAAAATGAGTTTGGTGTTGGATGTTTTGATTTGTGCTACTTCCCAGATACCCACTTCAGAGGTGTTCATCAGTCAGTGGGAACTCAAGAGAGGCCAAACCCCGTGGGGGCAAAGGGTTAAGGTTAGAGGTTGTAAGATGTTAGTCAATCTGTGGGACTGGCTTGGATGACCCAGATGGTTGAGCTAGAGAAAGGGATTGACCATCAGGTGCACTTTCTGTGGACTCTGGGAAAGGCGTTTAACAAGAGGGTTCCTGAGAATCCTGCTTTAAAGCTCAGCTTCAGCCCAACAGTGGCCTTCTGCCTGCCTGGCTCAGCTCCCTGAGGAGTAGTGACCCCTGTGCTTCATTCCTGCTTACTTGGGTTTGCATGCTTGAAAAATATTCCCCCTGCAGTGAAGCAGCACCTGGTCTGGGAGCCAAAGGAAGTTTGGCTCCCAGCGCAAACCCAGGAATCCCCAGGTGCAAGAAAGGTCTTTTCCAGAGCTCCTGGAATGTTTGCATGTTCCTGATTAAAGAAATCAGACTTAAGTCTGCATGGGCAAAAGTACAATGGATCTTATGTCATACGTCCTTAGGTATTTTATTCATCTGAAACTTATTTTGTTTAAAGAGAGGGGGATGTTTGACGCTTACTCGAGGCTTAGGGGACCTGGAGGGAGAGAGGGAGCAGTTCCTCTCCCCAGCTCTTCACTGCTGCTTCCCCGTGGCCTCCCTTCTCTGTCCTGCCAGAATATACTAATAAGAACTTAACTTTGTAATTCAAATCAAACCATTTGGTGCTTTCTCCCTTTCTGTATCGTTTGATTCATTCTGGTCACAAAATGACTTTCATCTCTACTACCTCCTTTTAAAATATCTGCCACCCAGCTCTCACATTCCAGATAGACTGTCATCTTTGATAGGACCCATGAGCAGTCTCAGAATAAAGGCCACTCACATGCAGCCTCATTCGTTTCTTTTCCTTTTCCCTTTCCTGTCCTGTCCTTTCTTGTAACCTCTTTTTTAACTCCTAAATGTTCTTTCCTCTCAGACACAGGGAGCCACGTAGCATGATAGAAATTGCATGGGCTTTGAAACAGAATGGTCCCGGGTTTGAGTCGTGCTCTGACTCTATAATGAAATGATTTTGAACAAGACACATAACTTGTGTAGCCTCTTGTGGACTAGACACTAAAGGGATAGCAGTGGTGGGGGTGGGGACACAGTCTGTGCCTTCATGGACCTTCAGGGTACAGCAAGGAGATGATGGACCCATATCATTACCCAAGGAATATTTGGAAGAGGCACAAGAATGCGGTAGGTAAGAGTGCAGACTCTGTAGCCAAACCACATGGAGTCAGACCTGGCTCTGTCTCTGCTTTGTACCTTGAGCAATTCACTCATCCTCTCAGTTTCTTCATCTGTAAAATGGATGATGCTAAGAATTTCTACCTCTTAGGGTTGTTGAGAGAAAGCATTTATTATCTGTAAGCACTTAGAACATTACCTGGCACCTGTGAAGCCTTCTGTGTTAATCACTGGCATTGTTACAAAAAACAAGGGACAGAAAGGAAAGTCCAAGGTGTGTTAAGAATCTAAGAGTTGGGGGAAATGATTAGTTTAGGAAAGTCAGGGGAAACTGCTGAGGAAGAAACCACCCTCAGGAGTTAGAAGAGGCCAGGCATGGTAGCAGATGCCTGTAATCCCAGCACTTAGGAGGCTGAGGCAGGAGGATTGCTTCTAGTTGGAGGTCAGCCTGGGCTTTGTCTCAAAAGAAAAAAGAAAAAAGTGTGTCAGAGGGGAACAGAGAGCAGAAGAAGCCCAGAAGGGTAAGGGAAGGGCCCTTGAGGCAGTGGAGCTGCTTGGGTCATGAAGCTCTTGTGCAGTTGAGGGAGAGTATGCTGGGAGGTCAAGTAGGCTAATGCTGTGGCCAGCCACTGCCAGTGGGGCAGTCAGTGTGAGGCATTGTGCCGAGGGGCAGGGTGAGCAATCTGGAGATCCTGCCAGGGAAGCCGTTCCAGAGCATCTTCTGTTTTCTGTAAGAGAACCAGTGTAACTGATTCTCAGGCCTCAGTTCTGTATTTTTTGGTCTGATACTCAGAGATAGGAAAGAGTTCCAGCTGGAGCACTAGTTCACAACCAGCACCCTTTTTCAGGCTGTCATAGGTGATCACCACTTTCAACACGTGGCTCCTGGAAGGTGACTTCTTCACTCTAGTCACACCTATGTAATCAGAATCCCTTTTTACCTCTTAAGCCAAGGGGAACTGTGGCTTGAGTCCAGTCTGGCCTGCTGCCTGTTCTTGTACTGCCACAGGCTGAGTAAGGGTGGTCTTTATATTTTTTCCATGGTTGACGGGGAGCTATAATAAAAGAATACGGTCCACACACTTAAAATACTGCTCGGCCCCTGACAGGAAGTTGCCCTGTCCTTCTAAACCATTGACCCTAGAGTGGTTCCCGCTGGATTGAATCCATTTAGAGGTTAGCCCAAGAGGGAATCGTGTTTTATGAGCCCTCCCTCTTCACTAATGGCAATCTTTGATCTTCCAGGACAAATCCTTCAAAAAGACCAGGAAATCAAGGACCTAAAACAGAAGATAGCCGAAGTCATGGCCGTCATGCCCAGCATAACGTACAGTGCTGCCACCAGCCCCCTGAGCCCTGTTTCCCCCCACTACTCTTCCAAATTTGTGGAGACCAGCCCCTCTGGACTTGATCCCAATGCCTCTGTCTACCAGCCCCTGAAGAAATGAAGGCCAGCTGTGTGTTTGCCCAACCATTTGGTTTACCAAAAGGCCTCACAAAGCAGCGTCTCTGGCAGTCGAGATAAAAAGTTTATATTGTATTTTGTGGGACTGTATATGTTGTCATTTTTAAAGGGGGGGAGATAACATCCAAGTCTGATTAGAACAGCCCATCAGTTGTTCTTGTAAATTTTTTAGAAGACCTCACAGAACTTTGCAGTTTATTTTTCTTGGCCAACACATTAAAACCATTCTTGGATTTCATGTAGCCAATTTTGCCTTTTATGTATTCTTACACAGTTCCCTCTTGAAGGAAAAAAAAAAAACAGTTTTTGCTTTTCAACATCTTGTTTTCTTCTTAAATAAGCAAGCAAAAACTGTACATTGGATTCATGTGGGTTGATAATGAAAACGTTTTTAGAGTAAAAGGGTTAAATAATAGCTTTGATTTTATAGCTGCATTAAAGAAGATGATTATTGATATTACAGAAAGCAAAAATTTATTGCCCCTCCAAGGACCACACCAATTCAAGGAGCACCCTTTAAACTGAGGAGAGACTTAAGTGACGAGACTAGCTGTAAGAATGTAACAGGGATTGTGTGAAATATTTATATCCCGTCCTTGTGTTCAGTCCTAGAAAATTACTAGCAGCAGTCTTCTTCACAGTGCCTTGGGAAAAGACATTTCAAGAGGAAACTTATATTTTAAACTGTTTTCCCCCGTTCAGTCATTGATCTTCTCTCTGCATCGAGCTCAGTGTGGATCCTGCTGTAAAACTGGTGGGAAGATGAGCTGTTCTTACCACCACACCACTCTTCTATTTCTTTTGATAGAAAACACCAGATGTCCTGTGCTTGCCCCCAAGCAGGCGCCTTGGGGAGGGAGCTGGGTGGTGTTCATGTCCGAGAGACGCTAACAGTGGCTAATAAAAGTTGCGGTCCAGGTCTCCCCCCTCATTTCATTTAACTGTGCTTTCTCCACCTTTCATCATCATCTGTCTGACAACTTAAAAAAGGAGGTTTGACTCTTCCTCAGCTCTTGTGCCAAGCAGGTTTTTTTTTTTAAGACTTTAAAACTCAAAACTGCACAAAGATACTGGTTTCAACTGTGTATTATACATTGGTAGAAAAGTGTTTGCACAGGGAACTTTTGGAGGTATTTAAGAATCAGGGTAGGGTGGGGGGAGGGACTGGGAGAGAGGGAAAAAGCAAAATTGTATTTGGAAATTAGGAAAAGTTAAACTCAATAGATTCGTTTTGCTTCCTTGCCATGGGTTCTGGAAGGACATAGTCCTAAAATTTCCTGTTAATTGGCATGTATGTCTTCATTTAAAAGAAATTAAGTAGGACGAGCAAGTCAGTAAAACAGCAGTATTAAAAAGAATCATCCTTTTAATTACAGATCTTATTTTGGAGTTTTACAAAAAACTAGCTTTAGCCAGGTGTGCATGTTGCTGCCATTTGCATTTTTGAATCATCCTGTGTAATTGTCACCATGAAAGTGTTACTCAGAATTGTCAGATTTTTTTCATCTTTGTGCAAAAACATGGAAAATTGTCACTGACTTTGTGTTGAGGTTTCCCCCATTTCGCTGCCTTTGGGACACTATTTTTGTTAAATAATTGGTCTTGGCTGCATTCTTTTTTTTCCCCCCGTGGGGTTCAAAAGAATAAACATTTTCTTATTGATAAAACTAGTTTTCTGCCTTTTTAACTTCAGAGGGACACAGCAAGGTAGATCGTCCTGAGTGGGGCTGAGATGGTCACTACCTTGTTGTCTCCCCATCAGGTAGCAGTGCCCCCCACATGGAGCGGGGCCCGCTGGGCAGGGAGCAGATGCGGTCTGGGAGATGCCCATCCAGGATCTGCAGTTGGTTTGCTGGCTACTCTTACTTAATCCACATCTATTTTCATTCACGCTCTCCCCACCTCCTCCTCCTCCTCTGGCATCTGGTTAGAGCCAAAGCTGTCTTATTTTCTGGTATAGCCCCACTTTCCTAAACAGTGTTAGGGATGGGGCTGGGGGGTTATTGGTAAGGCGATCTTGAGAGCAAGTCTTCTTCTTTGCCATACGTACTCTCCCATTTTCCAGAATTTCCTTTGGCTATTTAATGACCAGTACCCAGTTGGGCTTTCTCTCTGCTACAGATCTTGACCTTCAAGGTAACCCTTCCATCGTCTTCCTTTATTTTTAGAGGCTCTGCCTGTTTTCATCTTCTGAGAAGCCAGCTGCCTCTCTTGGCCTGTGCTTTCCTCTCTTGGCCATTGGTACAATTGATCTTGGCTTGAGTTTTGGAAAATTCTGTGCCTGGCACCTCACCCTCTGTCCTTTTTTCTGGATAGCTTTTCTGGGTCTTGGCCACAAAGGCCCGTGCAGATACCCGCACTCAACAGCATGAGCAGAATTCCTTAGGAAAATGCCTGGGCTGAGCTTGGCTTCTGCCTTCGCCGTCCCTGAAGGACTGTGTCTGCCGGGAGTGTTCTCATTGGCACGTTCTTTTCCACCAAAGAAATCTCCAGTTGTCATCTTTGTTATTTTAAGCCCATCATAAAATGGTTCTACATCTTCGCACATTATAATTTATTACATGCCATAAAGCAGTGTTTGCCGTTCGAGATGATTAAATATTTATAGGAAGAATGGGCTGTGTTTTGACTGGCCAGATAAAACCTCTTTTTATTGACATCACCCACTTTACAGAAGGAAGTAGCTGTCATATGTTCATCCTCCCCATGATAATCTGAGAGATCCTATAAAATGAGAACAGTCTGTTGTGGCTCCCAGCCAGAAGGAAAGGAATTGTCCTCTTTCCTACCATCCCATTTCAATGGGTTCACCCATCTATATTATTCCAGGCTCTGGAAGGCTACTTGGGAGGGCTGAACTCTTCTAACTACTACCATCATATTGTTGCTTGAGAGGTTCACCAGAGGGTGCTAAAGAAGGAAACCAGAAATCCGCACTAAAGCCATTTCTGTGAAGCCAAACTAGAAAACTGCTTTCAGATGGGCCGTCATAGACAGGCTGGTTTAAAGGGCCTCTGAGACTAAATGCCTAGCTGTATGTGAACAGTGTAGCTTACTCCTAACCCTATTTCTTCACGGGCCTGGCATCCCCTGCCAAAGGTGCCACTGTTGAGCCCTACTCTACTCTCATTTATGCGGTCCTGTGCCACAGCCATGCCCTGCTTGTGGACAAGGCAGGGAGATTGCCTCCAGCTTTGCCATTGCTGGCTCTGACCTCTCAACATGTCGGAGCTGTTTCCTGGAGGACTCTCGTTCCTTGTCCTCCTGCTTAGGGGAGATGCCATGGAGACCAGTGACGCGATGCCAAGAGCACTCTGGGAAATATCCTCAGCCACCTCCCAGGTGGAAGTTCAGACCAGCAACAGGGAGTCATGATGAGGACTGGGCTCTGGCTAAGAAGTCCTGCTCCTGGGGTTCAGCTCTGTGCCCCACAGCCTGACTCAGAAGCTCATCTCAGAAGCATGGTTGGCAACTTCAGATCCGCAGTCCTAATAAACGCATTAGCACCGGAATCTCACTTTTCCCCAGAATGTCCTCACCCTCATCTGAATCTGCATTTTTACATCTCCAGGTGATTTGGTTGCATATAGTTTTAGGAGCCCCATCCTGAGCTGACGTCCCTAACTTGAAGACTATGGTATCACCCTCTTCTAGTCCAGAAAAAGTCAGTACTGGGGCTTTTGCCTTTTATAATTAAGAACTTGATGAAGAGGAGGCATTCAGATGAAAATCTCTGACAGCTTACCCTTATGTTTCTCCACCATTAGAATATTAACTCTATGAGAGTCAAGATTTTTGTCTGCTGTTATAACCCTAAAATATTTACTGCTATACCGTAGGTGCTCAGTAAATGCTTATTGAATGAATAAGGTCAATTAATAGATGAGGCATCTTAACTGCGTGGGAGCATCTCTGCAATAGTACTACCAGAGTGACAAGTCAACACTGGCTTCTGGAAAAAGCGGAAGGATTTGAAGTAGTGTATTTACTACAACATCTTCCACCTGCCAGATTTTCTCCACAAACTCCTGGTTGGCTTAGCGAGGTGTGAAGATCTAAGCAGCTGGATGCACTGTGGATACCCCATCGTCTGTCTGGGATCCCTCACCCCAGGGGACCCGCTGGGGGCCTGTCCATTCTTCACCCCGCTGGAGCCTTAGACCTGACTTCCCCCAGAGCCTGCCCCACACATGGAGAGGGAGTGTGGGGATCTTACTTGGGCAGTGATGAGATTATCAGGGCTTTCCTTCGGGAATGTGTCTGGCTGGGCGGCTGTCCCAGGATCTCCTTCCATCTGACTGAGGGGCTCACACTTCCTTTCTCTCTGCTCTCCTTCCTTGGGCTCAACGTGAGGGTTTCTGCTTTCCAATTTCAACATTTGCCTTTAGCTCCTGTGCCTTTCCCCGAGGTTGAGGTCTTAACATCCTGTCAGGGTGGATTTTTGGGGTGCAGGATCACCCTCCTGTGATGGACACCTCTGATTGCTCTCCTGATTCCCAGGCTTAGCTACCGTGACAGCACTTTTTAAACCCTGACCAGGAAATCTGGACCAGTTTAGTTGGGAAGCTGCTCTCTCCTACTCTATTCTTTTCCAGGGCCACAGCCCCTGTCACTTCAGAGTGACAGGGAGGTGGAGCTAAGTGTGGCAGTGACCCTTAGCAGGCCTTTCTCGGCCTGGTACCAGCAACCCCTGCATCCCCATTCTTCGAGTTCCCTCTCCTGACTGTGTCTGTGGGTCTCGATCCAGAACATGGTTTTGCTCTCAGAGGCCTGTGCTTTTGACACCTCTGGTTCGTGTGCTACCAGGCCCATGCTGATTTAGAACTGTGGTTCACAAATCTTAAGGGCTATCAGAGCAGCCAGAAATAGCCTATTAAAACACAGCACTGAGCCCAGCCCTGAGTGTCCTGTGCAGAGGTCTGGGGAGGTTTTAGCAAACTCCTGAGGGAGGCTGGATCCTGGAGAACGACTTGAAGCCATCCCACCAGTTGCCACCAGAGGGCACAGGCGACCTTCTCCAGAGGGCCTGTTTCACGTCCAGCCGGCAGCTGCCCGTTCTCTGGGCAGCAGTCTCTTCCCTGAGGACTTCATATCCCTCAGGCTGAAGCAGAGACTTCTTCAGAACAGCCCAGAATCTTTCTAGTTAAGATAGGTGAATGTCACTTTCCTCTTTATACTTTCTTATCTATCCCCAAACTTTCTACGATAAACCTAATATTTTATAATGATTTTAAGACATTTTAAGTGTAATTAAGAGCCCAAACAGTTGGGTGCGGTGACATGTGTCTCTAACTCCAGCCACTCAGCAGGCTGAGGGAGGAGGGTTGCAAGTTCAAGGCCACCTTGGGCAATTTAGTGAGACTGTCTCAAAATAAAAAGGCCCCGGGGGTTTAGTTCAATGGTGGAAAGCTTGCCTAGCATGCACCAAGCACCTGTTCGATCCGCAGCACTGGAAAGGGGGTTGGGGAGTTGAGAGGATTTGGTGAGCGACTTGAAGTAATGAGGAAGCCCAACTGTGTGTGCTCCCCTGTTGTGGGCCCTGCTGGGGTATCTGCCGGGGGTGGAGCCTAGTGGGTCACAGCTGACCGCTCAAGAAGAGAAAGGATCAAGGAAGAGAGCACCCACCCCCTGCGATGCAACCTGTCCTCTCCAGCGCACCTGGCCCAGTGGGTTTGTGGCCGAGTAGCCTCAGCCCAGGAACAACCCTTAACCACATTCAGTGATTTCCAAAGGCCAGGTGGATGTAAGCAGCCAAAGTATTAAGACTTAAGAGACTGTAGCATAGGTTCCTAGTTGCTTGCAGACATGTCTGACATGCATAGGATTTCATATATTTGAGCAAACATTTTAAAACTGGAAGATTTCATATTATCTGGAATGTGGGGTTTTCTATTGAAAAATCTGAAGGGCTGCCGTCTTAGGGCTGGCACCCTTCTCCCCCTGCCCTGCAGCAAGCCTGCTTAGCTGCTTTCTCCGCCCCCCACCCCGCTGGCTTCCTCGGCCCTCTGCTTGCCCTACCCCTTTCTATTTTGTTCACCTTTGAGTTTACAGCTACAGTCAGTTTCTGTCCCTTGCCATATAAAAACCATAGGTAAAGCAGGGCCCAGTGCAGTGAAATGTGTCTGTAGTCCTGGCTACTGGGCTTAGCCTCTTGCTTCTCTCTGCCAGGAGAAAATGTTCTCACGTAAAGGCCACAGCTGTGTGAGCTGAGTCAAAGCCACCCCTCAGCGCTGGAAGCAAAAGAAATACAATATGTTTTTGGTGTCAGCCACTGAGATTTTGGGGGCTGCTTGGTACCACAGCAAAAACAACTGATAACAGAGAAAGAGCTCCAGCTTGAGCCACCTGCCCTCACCTGGGCTGAACCCTGGGCTGGACAGTGGAAACTCAGGAAGGGAACTGGGCCCTGCCAAGGTCTGAACGGTTGTATCGCCCCCGAAATGCATGTGTTAAAATCCTGACCCCCAAACTGACAGCAGTGGAAGGTGAGACCTTCAGAGGGGATTAGGTCGCGAGGCAAGGTCCTCATGAAGGGGTCCATGTGGGGTGCGGTGCTGCAAAATGGTCACCCCGGTATTCGGGAGGCTGAGGCAGGAAGATCAAGTGTTTGAAGCCAACC